ACAGATTTTGGTAAGATATGTATATTAAAATACACTTGCACTAACAATTTGAACGTGTTAGTACCAAAAACAACGGAGGTTGGTATGCCACTTTTTTAAAAAACGTAGGTAGGTATGTATTTGCAGTTTTTGATTTTCTTTTTATAATGTTTTTGACTTCTCCTTTAAATAATAAAATTTTCTGATTAGGGCCTTTGTGAACAAGGTAACGCACACGTAACATAATATAAACAAAAAATTTCCAGAATATCAACTTTGTACAAGGCATTACATTTATTTCTAATTTCAGTCATTTATTAATATAATCTTATAAAAAAAAATTTAAACATGAAAAAAAAAACATTTTAAAACGAAGATTTGGCAGGTTTTTGGTTTTTTATAAGCGTGCAACTTCTTTAAACACAAATGTTGCCAGATGTTGCTGGCAAAACACATATCTGTTGCTAAACATTTATTTCTTTGTTTCTGCCTCGGAATTTAACAGAATAACTGCGTTCCAAATGGCTGTTAAAATTCCATACTAGAAACGTTCTAGATTTCCATACCACAATGATTTCCACTGAGTCGTTTGCACCTTCTCGTTGTTAAATGTTCTCTGCAAACACATCATTTGGACATTAAAAAGTACCGCGGCGAAAATCTAAATTCGCCTTGAACACCTCCTTCTATAAATTCGCCTTGATTGCGCCGATTGCAGCAGAATTCGTGAGAGTAATTTTGGCGAGACGTTATTATATGCATTTCAAGTTTAGAAAAAACTTTAATTACTAATTTATATGATATCGGCTAAAATACTTGAACTTATCGCAACAGAGAAATATTATTTTATCAGTTTTAACCCTAGTCGAGCGAAGGTTCAAGAAAAATACTTTGAGGGATAAAGAAGTCTTTCAGGGTGGAGATCAAGGCGAATTAATATAAGGTGATAGCAGGAGTACAAAAACAAAAATTTACATGTATTTTGTTTTTGCTTTGGCGGCATAAACTGTCAAAATCTGTAAGAGTGTGTGTAGAAATTCAAACAAAATTTTTCAATTGGATATCAGAAGCCGTGCGGCGAAACACATACACAAAATCAGCTGAGCTAGTAACACCACCTTATATAAATTCGCCTTGGTGGAGATTCTGCAACCAGTTAGCGATAAGTATCGGATCGACATCGCACTTGTTGACGTTAAAATTTTACATATCATACGTCAAAAAAAACCGATACCGATTCGAAAATTGACGCTAACTGGTTACAAAGTCTGCCCCAGGCCTACAAAAATGATATCGTCCGATTCAGCTGGAACAAAAAAGCTTCAAACAAGAGTTTCTCTGTATTATGGCCTCGAACCGATGTATATACATCTTCCATTTAAATCAGTATTAAAAGCTCTATTGTTTCCTACATTCGGGCTTTGATAGGCGAGTCTCCCCTGAACCGTTTTTTCCATATTTTTGGCCTATGTGCTATTTTATTCGAAACCTAAATGTTTCGGTACCGAGTATCGAGAGTAATAGGGATTCAACTTTCACAGGCGATTAGTTGAACAAAAGTTGAACGAAAGTAGGCAGCCGACCAACTTCATTGTAAGCGATTAGTTGAAAGGCCGTTTACACCAGGCGATTGTTGCTTTCAACTAAAAATCGATTGAAAAATCGCCTCATGTAAATTCCCTATAATGGATACTTACGCATCTATAAATTCACCATGGAATTGAACAATAAAGATAAAAAAATTAAGGCAGTCATTGGAAAGGGAGTATTGGCGAGCCCATGTGAATTTTCGTGACGTACCGTTTTTCTGCCTAGCCAATGTTTCACCTAGTCCATCTGTTAAAAATCCTTCAAAAATCAATTTCGCAGTATGGCAATGGTAAGTCAGCTGTTTTGTTTGCCGCTTGCTTGTTGTTTTTGTTTTTATGTTGACAGGCAAAGGAAAAGGCAAAAAGTAAATAAACAAATAAAAAGTATAACAAGAAAGTGATTGCAAAAATAAGAACGTAATTACTAAATATTCGATGAGCTCCAAGGAACTTTATTCGATACGAGAATGGGCGCCTTTAACGGATGTAATGGAAAAGATACCTGTGCGTACGATACGCGCACTTGGAATTTTTCCGGCCGATTTGAATATAACTTGCGTCGATGCAATTACAGAGTTTTTGGCATTGGGTAGTGATGCTGGCATAGTTTTCTGGTATGATCGGTATACCGGCGAATTGCAGAAGTTACGCACAGAGGTGAGAAATCCCAATTCATTTTTAAATAGTCGTCGTGAAGCATTTGATCCTTGTACCCCGACTCCTACAAAAATGCATAAATGACTCATACTTAAAAAGGATACACCCATTTTTTGTGATAGAAATAGTTCATGTTTAGTATGTATACATTTCTAATACCTTACATTCTAATCCTTCTTTTCCCCTCCCGCAAGTTTGCTGCACGCATTACCTGCGTGAAAATTGTCGATTCGGTTGAATATATGGTAGCAGCGGGCAATGCTAGTGGCCAAGTAAGCGTATTTCAAATACAAAAACAACTACCGCCAGATCTGAATTTAGTTGCTCCATGTACACGGGCCAAACCCATCGAAAGGTACACTATACGAGACTTGCACAACTGTGCCGTCAGCTGTGTGGAGTGGTCGAAAAATGGTATGAAGCTTTATTCAGGCGATCGGCAAGGCATAATAGTACTGACCGAATTCGACTTTCAAGCTGTAAGTGGGACGCTGCTATCGCTTGCATATCTTAATAATTTTGACATTTCTTGTACCCAGCACCTAAGCAAGTCATCCGAGATACTTGGCGAAACATATGAAATTGTACAGCTTAGCGTCTGCCAAAGTTATTTGCTGGTATCGACACTTTACCGTTCGGTCGTCTGCCAACTCAATAGCCTTACTGGTCAATGGCAAGTGACTCAGGTCGGCAGAAAGGATCGAAAAGTTTTAACCGAGATTGGTGGTATATTCCTAAAGCAACAGTCTAGCCGCCCAATTTTGATTTGTGGTCGTCCAGGTTTGCGCTTTTGGATTGCTGATACGGAAGGGAATGTGGAGAAAACATTACTGTTTCGTGAGGCCGTAGCGCGAAGTCCTACTTGGGAAATACCTATACTCAATCCGAAAACATTATCGCAACAATGTCTTGCTTCCAACGGCGGAATCGGCGGGAGCGATGATGTAAACAGAAACTTTGGCACTCTATATTTATATGGAGGACAGGATATGCTGATCGTGACGCACGATGAGTCAACTTTGTACGTTTTGAATTTGGATCGACTGCGTGTTGAAGCGGTAGCCCGAGGTTTTCGAAAAATTCTTGATTTTTGTGTTTGTGGCAAGGAGATTTTCATTTTGGAAGGATCGCGTTCATTATTGCGACTGGCACCATTGCCGGAAAAGCCGAGTAAAACTGGTAAGAAAAATTTGCCTGCATATATGTACATGCATAAAATTATAATTTGAGAAGTCGGTTAATTATTTTACTTTGGTACAGCCAAAGTAATTTTTAATCCTTTGCTAGGCGCCTCAATAGCTAGTGCCTTCGAATCGCCGATGGAATCGTTTGAACCGCCTGAGCGACCAGTGGGTAAAGCAGACGAGTGTTATGAGTTGCCTCCAGTAGAGGCACTAAATTTGAATGTACCAATTGAATTAGCCGTAGAATCACCGAGGGCGGAACAAAGTCGGCGTTTAGAAATTCTCAATCAAATATCTGAAATGGATTTCGATCAATCGATATTATATCACAGTTTAGGTGGACGAAAACAACGTTCACGGTGGCACAGTCGTGATAGAGATGATGTTACTGGTACTTGGTCGGCGCCAAAAAAGTCAGAGGGTATTGTAGAAATCGGACGTGTTGTGGAACCGGAAACAGGAGTAGATACGTCGATTTTGGCCTTGACGGCTATGGAAGTTATGGGGGCGGATCCGAATGATAAGCACGCAGCTATGACAAAACCGACATTTATGGATAGCAGTTTTTGCACAACTACTGTGGCTAAGGTTTTAGAAAAGGATACACAAAGGTAACGTCAATTCAAACTGATCGTGCATTTCAAAATTAATTTCCTTTTGTTACTATCAAATTTTATTGTTTTTTTCTTATACGATTATTTATCTTGCCAAATTTATTTTATGTTCGTTCTCAACTGCATTATCGCCTACATCGTCCGAACCGAACAGAAATCCGCTATCACTAAAACCGAAAAGTGGCATTGCACTTATGCCTAAACAATCCAGCTTAGATTCTACTTCACCATCGCCAACACATATCGTTCCTGCTGCACCAGCTTCTACGCCCACACCAGCACCACTCAAAGAGCTTGCCCAAGCATATCCCAAACAAACAAAACTCGAAGACGCCAGCGTGCAAACAACTCCTCGCAAGAAGGTCTATTACATTGAAGAAGAGGACGTTGAGGGTAACATCTACACTGGTCAGCCAGTAGATGATCTTTGTCATGCAGCTTTGCATGCGGCGACCCTAATTGAGGAATACGACAAAGATAACGAAAGCGGTACAACGTCAAAACTGCCAGCGCGCACCACCCCAGCAGTACAATTAAAATTCATTCCCACACAACCAGTTAACGAGGAAATAAACAGTTTTTTACCAGATTTTCGTCGAGCATGCGATCCATGTTCGTCTCCTCCAAGGGTACATCAAAAAACTCCGCCACCCTCAGCGGAATCTAATGGTAGTTCCAGTGAATGGGAATTCCTCGATAATTAAAATACACTATTTTTTAATATCACATCAGTTCTAAGGTAATTCGCTTCTTACGAGTGCTGTTTCAATCGAACATAATTATTGTATGAATGATTTAAAATCTTTGTCAATTGTGAAAACAGTTAACTTTAATTAGTTAACTAAACCACATCTGTATTATAATTGATATGTTATATAGCACTATAAAATTTTATGTTAAATCACATTTTTATTCCTTGTTGTAGCATATTGTAATCGCTTTCTGTTTTATTTTATCTCATGTTTTAAACATCAAAATAATTATGCAATTATTTGCAATAATAGTATATGTATGTAAAAAAGCTATACCAAATAAAATGCATGGTTTATTGCATTTTATCGCTTAAAGGATTTGTGTAAAAGTATGCAGAAAATCGAGTTTGTGTTTTTTTTTAGTAACTTATTTATCCGCTTTTGCGTTATATATATATATTCATATAAACTATAAGTCCGCTTGAGCCGACCGTGAACTTCAGAAACCGGAAGTGTATTTATATAAGTTATCCCAGAAGATAATTTAGGTAGGCCTTCTTAAGCAGAGCCTCTTAGCTACCCAAGAAGGGATGCAAAAAGTGATTTCTACGCGAATGCATAAATTTATGTTATTTAGCATTACAAATGAATTTCCATAAACAGCTTAAGTTCCAATTACACATATTTGATATAAACTTTTAAGCAAATACTTCAAAGATGTATGATTTTTATAAATTAAAGAAGCAACTTTAAAATAACTCCTCCAAACGGCCTTCTGAAGTATGTCCTATAAAAGCCCTTTCCGAAGGACTTCCATGGGTAGCGAAAGAATAAGCCCTTCAATTTGTGGCACTCCATACAAAAAAGAAAGGAGAAAGAAATATAGAGTGGAATGCCTCTTGACCCTCAGGAAGGCCTTTCAGAAGGACTTTTAACTCCTGAAATTATCTACTGGGGTGATGTATTTTTCAAAAATCCAGCCTATATTTGCATATATAAAATTAAAATTCATTGTACGTTGGAGTATAAAAAAATAGGTACGACAGCCCAAAAGCAAAGCAAGTGAGAATTTTAGAACGTGTTATCTACCCTTTAAACACAAATTTTGTTCCCAAAAAAGGATGTATATTCGTTACTATCGATACGACGAAGCGAAGCTATTCGCTCCTATTCCGAATGTCGGAACGACGTCGTTCGTCGAAATTTGAGATTTTCATTGGCGTTATGAGGCAACCATTGACAAAATCTACCAAAAAATTTGGTTCCTCTTATCCTTTCGAAATGAAGAAGTATTGAAAACGTGTTAAAATCTGGCGTTAATGTTTTTATTTACTTTAGTTTAATGTTTATTTATTTTAGTGGAGCGGCGAGCCAAGCGAAGAGCTAGCATCGAGCAAAGCTTCAATTACAAACGAGAATAGATATACGCTTTGCTCTTCACTATGTGCTCTCCCATTAAAACATATGCGTTTAAAATCGCCGCTTGGCTCGATGCTCTTTGCTCGCCGCTCCACAATTTTTTTCAACTCAGTTCAAAAAACGAATGTCGAAGCGGAGGATTGCGACAACTAGAGAAGGGATGATTAACTACAGGTTTATCAGGCAGGTTCTGCAATTCACTTCCGCGTGAAATTCAACAAAACGCACCTTTAATTCGAGTTTCTTTCGGGTTCCAGAACCTGAATATAAAACTCGGAAATTGAAACACAAACTCCAAATTATGGATTCAAAGTGATTTTTGTTGAAATTCACTCGGCAGTGAATTGCATAATATGCCTGTATATCCGTTAATTTTGCTATCCCGATATCTTTTTTATAGAACTCCCTGCCCTAGTTCTTAACAACATATACGGAATATTTCTATGTTCCTCCTTAGTATCTTCGTTTCAAAATGGAAAATACCGATATATTTCCGATAAGTGTCAATAACGCCATACGTACGACGGAAACTACCACAGTTTCAAAAGCGTACTTGATTTTACTTTCCTCTACAAAGACACAAGAAGTAGAGATGGAAATATGTGACAGCAAAGAGCTTGGGATGCTGTAGATGTCAAATTTTTTCGAAAAGATTAGGTAGCTTACGAAATGTTTTAAGACCGGGACGAGCTCCATAATTGGTGTCGTAGTGAGAGGAATATTTCTCTACCCTGGTAAATGACAGCAAAAGGTCGCTTGACAACGACGAGATTCGAAAATGAATAGCACGGCTTGATTGATGATTGATTTTAAGTGTGCTCTGCGCAATCCACAAGAAGATTGACAGTGTCATACGCACCAACTCCTGCCCTGAAAATATTTGATGCGGTACCCGCTAGTGGTAGCAGAGGAAAGGGATGGCCTTCGCTGCATTGGAAATACCAGGTGAAGAGGGACTTATGTAGCTTGACGTGTGGCCCTATTAGGTATGGCGACTGATGTCTAGTTGCTGGTCTGCCAGCCATGGCTACCAGTGTCGTACTTTATATTATGTATAGCGACTAATCTCAGTATATACAGAAGCGCAGACAACATCCGAATTTACTTTTATGTAAACAAACTAGGAATTGCCCGCTTAAAAGCAAAATCAGTCTGTAAAGTAAACATTTTTATTTTAAATCGAAACGACTAAAAAGCGGAATCCTCCTCACCATATGATAAGAATAGTAGCGCTGTGATTCCATACGGAATACTAGTTCCTTTCGATATCATGTGTTTTACCGATGGTCTTATTTCCACATGTGAGATCTTTGCCAAACGTGCGTAATATTCTTCTATGATCCAGCAAATTCAACATAGGTCCGTAGTACCATGTAAGCCAATAAAAGTCCTTATACGGAAGGTCAAGAGCACAGACGCGCGTTTTGAATTATAGGAGGGGCAAGAAGCCTCGCTGTTCCACAGGTTGTAAAGCTTTCCCGTACATTGGCTAAATGAGTCGTGTGATCGCATGAATATCGTTCAAATGAAGCCATTGATATACCTATTGTGTTCCTTCTTGGACAGATGTGGTCGAATCTTTCCTTGTCAATTCGCCACTTTTTCAATTCGTCTTAATATTAATGAATTGGTTTCTTTGAGTCTTACTGCTGTAATAACGGCCGCCTCGAGCAACTTCGTCAATCGGAGGTAGATGCAAGATCACGCTTACACAGTGTAACGGTCTTTATATGCAAATTTTAACGCATCCTTGATTTAGCCATCCGAAAAGTAAATTCGTCTAAGATAAACATAGGGCCCTAGCAGAACAAACCCCGTGGGGATTTCTATATATTTCGCCTGCAGCGTCATCCATTGGGTCCATTTTCGGCAAAACCTTTGCTTGTCATGAAATTTATACGCATTATGAATTCCAATCGGATTTTATANAAAGTAAATTCGTCTAAGATAAACATAGGGCCCTAGCAGAACAAACCCCGGGGGGATTTCTATATATTTCGCCTGCAGCGTCATCCATTGGGTCCATTTTCGGCAAAACCTTTGCTTGTCATGAAATGTATACGCATTATGAATTCCAATCGGATTTTATAAAAAAATACGGATTTTTTAAATACCGAAACTCCAGGAATTTTTCATCAGAAATCGGTTAATAAATACGACTTTTATAAGTAACTCTACTCCAGCACCACCAGCGTGTTTTCTAGTAGCCTATAATAGGACCATATATGCAAGGTATAACCTACGACAATTTGACTGGGCTCTATTGAGTGGTTTTTGAGTTTAGTCCGAAAAACGGAAATGGCTATCATTGTATGTAAGCAATATGTTTCGAATGAAAAAAAAAAATCATCATGAAAGTAATAAACGTTTCGAATCATTCAGGTAGCTTACGAAATCGCTTCATAAATACAACTTTTATAAATAAATCGCCTTCCGCACCACCTAGCGGCTCAGTTTTTGGTAAACGTATTTTCCATCATGCTGCAACTATTCCTTTTGATATTGAAAGAAATCGGTTCACAAATACGATTTTTATAAATAAATCGCCTTCCGCACCACCTAGCGGCTCAGTTTTTGGTAAACGTATTTTCCATCATGCTGCAACTATTCCTTTTGATATTGAAAGAAATCGGTTCACAAATACGATTTTTATAAATAAACCGACTCCAGCGCCACCTAGTGGCAAACGTATTTTTCATCATGCTGGTAGATTACCTTTTGAATTTGAACGAAATCGGTTAATAAATTTGACTTTTATAAATAACTCGACCCCAGCGCCATGTAGCGAGTTTTCTAGTAGCCTATAATAGGGCCATATATGCAGGGTATAGTCTCTGAAAATTTTACTGAAATCTATCCAGTAATTTTTGAGTTAGTAAGTTGAGTTAACGTAATGCGAATTTTAGTATATGGTTGCCCATCGACTGTTAGTCGCCATACACAATAGGGCCATTGGTGCTTCTAATTGGCGCCAATCAGAGAAAGGGAGGAAAGCAGCCGAAATCTTTTAAACGGTTATAGCGCCAATCAAGAAGAAATGAGGAGGAAGTTCTCTCATAATTTTTGAGTATGCCCTGCAATTAGAAAGCCGCGTTTAAACGATCCAAAAATGCGCCCCAAATTACTACGAAGAAATGGCATGTTTAGAGTTATATTTAGGACGCATATTGTGTATTATTTTTTATCGAATGCTGTATGAGTTTCTTAATGCGAATTCTTCAAGCCGTATTTCCTACCTACTTATCTCGAAAATTATACATACATATGTACATAGTATGTACATATGTGAAATACAAACGTCACCATCCACGTAAGTTTTTTCAGGGACTTGGCGCGTGCACAGTTGTTAAAAAAATGTGTATTAAACTAAAATAAAATAAATTTAAAAGTTTTGATAAACAATTTTAAGTAATCAACATTTGCTTTTCACTCAATAAACAACGTTTATAGATATTCGTGAAAATATGTATTTTTACTATTTATTATCTAAAATTTAATATGAACAAGTAATTTTTAAGCAAAAAAAAAAAAACAAAACCGACTTCAATTCTCATATAAAAATTTAGGAGTGCCGTTAATTTTTTTATGATCTAATGATTGGATCTAAGTATGGGACCACCTCTGAGACACTACCTTTCCGATGCAAAAAGAATTCTCAAAATCGAATACATAAAAAAAATATATATATATTCCGACGAACTGATAACCTCCTCCTTTTTTTTGGAAGTCGGTAAAAAATAAGCCGGTGGTCATGGTCATCGCATTCTATTACCTATTCTACCAAATTTCCAACCAGTAAAGAATTACAATATCGAATCTATGTAAGTATGTATGCAGGAAGACCCTTCTCCGCTTCTTTAAGAAAATAAAACCTTGCCTTTCGTGTTTTCAGTTGAATAACTTTTGTGAGCTTTAATGGGACAAATCATATATGTAATACTTCTATATTGGAAGTAAGCTAACTTCTCAATGTGTAAGCATTCCGAAATCAAAGCGAGACATACCTTGTTTATACCTACGCAAGAACCGCATTAACAAAAAACCGATTTTACTGAACACATATTACTTTCTAGAGTTTATACCTGTGTCTTTATAGCGCACTCGCTGAAACCGTATTCAAAAGTAAACAAAATTTGCTGTTTATTATTCGATATTTCTTTAACAAATACTTTGCACGGTTCACCGAAATAGAAGCGAACAATAATTCAAATTTATTTTAATAATAATTAAAATTTAAGACGGGCATCAGCCTATTTTCACTTCGCGTCAAATGAGTGATGTGTTTTTACCTGTTTTCTAACCGAAGTGAGAAATAAAAAACCGATTTGAAAACTA